GGATTACTTCACAGGTGCAAACTCTTTTCATACTCGTAAGGTCTGAATTCCGGCTGTAGACTACAACTTTTATTATGCCTAGTAGTGTGGATGCGTCTTCCAAGTTCCTTGTTTAGGCTTGACTCTAGACACACTTTTGTTCAAACATCAGTATTTTGATCCATGATTTTGTCAGATTTTAAAGATAAACTTTAGTACTGGTAATGCGATTGCATTGTGAAAGAAAAGGTGTGGAAAGGATCATAAACAGTTGATCATGTAGCATGTAAGTATTGGTGTGCACTGCAAGGTTCTGGAGTCATCAAAATCATAATAAATTTGACCGAGTCTTGGTAAAGTACAAGCACTGTACACAGAAAGCTATATATGGGACAACACACATGGTGTCGGGGCTAGTACTACCTTGATTTCCTTGTCTTTCTATGCTCATTACTCAGCCAGTATACATTTTCTTCCAAAATTGTTTGGCACATGTCATTTATTTGTAATCTTGAACATTCAGTGTAAGTTTCGTTTGATTCTGTGAGAATTAATTTTTTTTTTTTTACCAGAACTGGAGTTTATCTTTAAACTTTATCTTTAAACTCGAAACAAGTTTTGGTTTTATGCACTTCCTTTACATGTATTGTGTCTCTCGTTGGTAACTGTCTTTGTTAGTATTACAAATTTGATTTTGATCAAAATCATCGACATATTCGACTCTCTCTGTGGGTAATACAGAGACAGTCGCTATTGACCTTAAAAAACAATAATAATGCACGGTCGCCGTCATTTCATGTTATACCCTGTACATAGACAATCGCTAGCCTCACTCTTTTTGGGGAGACGGACTTGAATCACATGATAACTGTCATTATTCAGGTACAAAAGATTTCATGCTTGTATTGTGGCTGTCATCAGCTAATGTCATGGCTGTGCTCGGTCGATCTTCAGTACGTACTACATTATTTTGCTACACTCGACCATGTTGTTAAACATAGTTTATCATTGTTCACACGTTAACAATCATGTAGTAACCGACATGTAGAGGTGTCGTGGACTCGTGGTAGAGTGGATATTTCACCGGACCGTGGATCACAAGGTCCATGGTTCTAATTAATCTACATTTGCCACACTCAACCCAGGTGAGGTAAATGGGTACCTGGTAGGATTATTCCCTGAAATGCACTGTGTGCTGAAACGGCTGCCGGAGCTAAAGCTAGGATAACAAAATTTCCAAAAGCTCTTTGGAAGCGCATAGAGATGTTATTTCTTCATCTATTACGCGCTATACAAGAACTGAATATTATTATTACCCATACCAAATAGCTAACTTTAGTATTCCATAATGTACCCGCAAAGAAAGGACATAAACTTTTATTTTTCTCCCTTTTAAAAATAAAAGCGGCTATCAGTAGCTGAGAAGTGTTTGCAGCAATGCCGCACACGTGTAAGCTATTCAAAACAGAACCACACCAGTTTTTTTTTGATAGTCCTAGAGACAATCTTCAGGTGATGACCACAGAACCTTTGTGGTTTTATAGATGAATTAGTGTTTATGAATATGAGCTTATCAAAATGATAATAATATTTGTGCACAGCCACAGGGTAACAGCATCAGCATCAAACTCAAAGCTGTTCTCCTTATGGCCCAGCAATTATTATTACAACACACCGATTGCCCGGTACTCATTTATACCTGGGTAGAGAGTGGCTTTTACGGATTCATGTCCTGCCAAATACGTTAGTGCAGGCTGGGATTCGAACCCTCACCCTTTGATTGAGGGTCAAGGGAGTGAACCACTATATCCCGACACTCTGATATACTGACACTGTCTTTGGGAAGGCATACAGAACCAGTAGTCCTATCTGATATCCGATGAAAAACTCATTTTCTGCACCCCTCCAAATTACGGGTAAACAAGTGTTAAATTTGCCGCAGTTTCCGATCTACCAAACTTTAGATTTCGAGTTTTCAGAGAGCTGTTACTCCTCTGACAAACACTTAACTATCATATAATTGTTAGTAATGCAATTAATGGCTTATAAGCTTTCCGTTGATATATTATTCATCTATTTCGTCTTTCATTTCCGACAGGGTCTTTAAAGAATCATATTCTTGTGGCTGATAATTACAGATATTTTCAAGTCATACAGATCAACGACATCATCGGTTTTACTGGCGGGGACGGATTCAGATTTGTGTACGGGGCCAGGCCGCCAGGGGCCCAAATAGAATATCCCGTTTTTTGTTGTTAATTTATACAAATGGAAAATATGACAGTCAGGCAAAAAGTTATCAATAATAATAATCAGATTTTACAGGTGCCTATTGGGTCGAAAAGTTCATAACAAGGTCAAGTTTTCATTTTTGTTGTACTCTCCTTTCGTGTGGTTCAAGTTCAGGTATACCTCAATGATTTTAAAGAAGAAGGTGTGGGTGGGGGGGGGGCTGACCGGCTGTGGTCCCTGAATCCGATCGTGTATACCAGTACAAAATCACCGGTATGAAGGCCTAGTTGTGTACAAGAAGATGACTGGTCGTTGTGGTTACTAATAGACATGTCATTTTACATTGGAGTTCAAAGAATGAAAATCTCATTGTTGTGGCTTGTCATCCGATACTATAATCACGGCCATTCTTGCCAGATTAAAATGACCGCCATTGATGGTCCTAAATATTCCAATGCATGCATGCATGCATACACCCGTACAATGGCAGCAACCAACCTTGGTGGTTTTTATGCTGTGATCCAGTCATCTCTGTGGCCATGTGGGTGACCATAGATCTGTGACCTACCATCATAATTTATAAAGGCATACAATCTACAAAGAAAGTTGAGCAGGGTCGTCATTTTGACAGAGCAGGAGGTTTGCGGAGGGGGGGGGGGGGGGGGGGGGGGGGGGGGGGTGGGGGGGGGGGGGGGGGTGGGGGGGGGGGGTGGTTAAGGTCATATTACCAGCAACTTTTTGTCAAGTTTTGACAAGTGAACCATAAATATAAAAGGTCATGAGTACTTTATATACTGTCCATAGCGGAAAAAGTTGAAATATATATGAGACATGACAAAGAAAGAAACGGTTACAAGGGGAAATAAAAAGTCCTAAACGATATTTTTGCAACGTAAATTTTCCGTAATGGCATCTTGTATTTCTCGTGTCCCCTCCCCACTTTCCAGTCTATATTAGGGTCCTTGGGCTCATTTTATCGTCTTTACATTACAATCAAGTTGTAATAGACTGTTCAACTTCAGCTATATAATATATATAAAATGGTCTAATATACAATCATATAGGTAAAATTCATGACAAAGGTATGGATGTCTCTTGCGACGTCACCCAAGAATTGATAGCTCTTTTAAATTTGTCAACAGCAATTTGTTGTGCTCTAATAAATCTACGTACATGTCTGTCACGAGGAAGCAAAAATAACCACGATTGCCTGAGGGCTCACCTCTCGGTCTGTATCAACACATTAACATTACTGACGCGAGTGACGTCATTCCCAACATAGACGTGACACACCTACACTGTAAAGTATATAGGTAGACCGACCGATATGATTAATTAATATCAATTATCTGATAATAAATATAGTTATATAAGTGTCTCGGACATCTAGATTTGATTTGATTGCGGTTTACACCATATTTGGGAACAGGATCGCAATGATTTAGAAGGAATCAGCATAAGGGTGATTTCAAATTTTCAATACACATTCATTGCCTATTATACATTTTGTATAGAAATCATGTTCGGGTGATGTTATCTGCATCATTGTCATGTTCTCACGTTCCAATACGTGACGCACAAGACTATTGAAATTATTCCCCCAAAATGTTGATGTTTTGAACGTCCTTGAGATCTTGTTTAGGTTATGCCTCAGTCACACCTTTGCGTATTTGGCTTGCGTATTGATGCGTATTTATATATGGCAAGCCGTTTTAACATTTATTCCTATTTCTTGATTATCAAGAAATGATTTTCTGTTGTAAAGTGATGGTATTTCTTGACATCAAGAATTCGATATCAAGAAATAAGAATAAATGTAAAAACTGCTATACGCAGCAATACGCAAGACAAATACACAAAGGTGAGGCATAAGAACTGTACACATTTCTGACATGTTTCAATATCGCATTGCCTGGCAATTATTGTTTTGGAGAGGATTGACCCGTGACAGGTCAGTTGACTACTCTTAAGCCTGTCTGCACTAGGTTGGCCAGGAGGGATTAGACCTCCCTGCATGGTCACTGACAGGTGGATATCTCATCAAATCAGCTCTCAATTAACATAAGAAAAAGGGGACCACGGGGACCAATGGTTACCGCTTAGGCATTGTTTGCTATATAGATGGCGCAAGTAGTGCAGTGGGGCTTTAATCCGCATATTTTTATGTTCATGCTTCTTTTTTCTAGTTTTTATCATAAGCTTGTGTCCTATTGCTAATGGCTGTACTCAAACCGTGGAAATAAGCTGAATTGAAGTGGAAAAACATCGTCTTTGTGCTCTTTTTACATTATTAAACTCGTAAAATCTGAACGACATAATTTTGGCGCACATTAAAGTTTAAGGCCATTAGATAGTGTCAGGATGTTTTGCCAGTTCTTACATGATGGCCATATTCTGTCCAAGCATTTCTTATTTTTTTTTTTACTTGTATATATAGACAGGCGCGTACGCAGGGGGTGGTTTTGGGGTTAAACCCCCCCCCCCCCTCGAATTTTTGTATGTGTATGTTTTTTGTATGTTATTTTGGAAAACCCTCCCCTTTTAATTTTTTTTTTTTTTTTATTAAAAAAAAAAAAAATGCCAATGGGTGACCTTATAAAGGTGACCTTACCCCCCCCCCCCCAACTGGACAAAATGTCAAATGTTCAAATTTCGTGACCAAAAAAAACAAAAAGTGTCCTCTTACCCCCCCCCCCCCCCCCCCCCCCCCCCCCAACCCCGCTTATTCAGCGGCTGGCTGAGTCGTTGCGAAATTTTGGGCCCGATTTGAAAACCCTCCCCTTGAAAAAATCCTGCGTACGCCACTGTATATATATATATATATATTTGTCATTGCCCTACTTATCATATTCCCTCAATGATGCGGGCATGAACCGGAATCCCTGAAGAGGCTCTTAAAACATAAGTCTTTGTGAAAGAATAGATTTAAAGGTAAAGACCAGTTATGGTCATGCGATTGCATTGTGAAAGAAACGTTGTGGAATCGATCAGAAAAGGTTGATCATCTAGCATCTAGCATCTGCAAGGTTCTGGAATCATCAAAATGATAAGAAATTTGGCCCAATTCTTCGTGAAGTTACAAGCACTATACACAGAAAGATGTATATGGGACTACCCTATATCTCTCACAGACCATGAGAGAAACAAATTTACCAAATATATGAATTAGTAGGCGGTTTCACGGCAAATTTTTTTATCATCATGTATTAGTCAAAACATATTCTTTCACATGATTGGTAATGAGAGCTTCCATTTCATTTTTTGAAATTGGGGCGTTTCCAATACTAGTCTTTACCTTTAAAGAGAGAGAGAGAGGAAAAAAAAGTTGGGAAATAAATGAGACATGGAGATAGGAAGTGAGAGAGCTCAGCGTGGCGTGAAATAAAGAATATATATTGCTCAGTCCATATAAAGCTTGTATATGGCCTACAGTGTGTAGTATGTTTTTTTGTGCAATGGTATGAATGTGTGATATTTCAAAAGAAATGAGTAAACGAATTTAGAAATGACATTACGAAAAGAACAACAACGAAAGTAGCAACAAACATGGACGGCACTGCAGGATATGAACAAAATAATGTTAAAAGATACCACATCAGGGGCCCGTCTTGTAAACAGTTGCTAATAATCGCAGCTTATTTGCGATCGATATTATCCCCACTATAATTATGTAGATAAGAGATAGGAGACTGCAAACTTGTGATTGATTGGAGGACTTGCGATTAATTCAGATTGATCCATCTTTATTTCTTTATAAAACGGGACCCAGTATACTCACAAATATTTTACCAGTATAGAGCCACATAATACCAGTATACATGTAAAACCAGCGAACCAGGATGAGTTGAAACTCACGTGCAACAAAATGTGAAGGATAAAACGCTCAAGTTACCATTTAATGGTAACTTGAGCGTTTTAGCCTTCATGTGATGCGGCTGTATTTATTCTTAAACATTTAAAGGTTTAAACTTTAAACGATCTAAAGCCTTTATCAAATGTAACAGGCAACACGTAAAATTTATGTAATATTTTGAAGGTGAAGATAAAAAGACCCCCCCCCCAAAAAAAAAAGTTTGGTTGTATATGAATCTATTCTAAACTTCCTGAATAGCCACGTTCAAAAGTCCCAACCAAAACATGAACTGGTAGTGGTTAGAGTATGAGTTAGAGAGAGGAGAGGAAGATAGAGAGAGAGAGAGAGAGAGAGAGAACGTGAAACTCCCCCTTTCTCTCTCTCTCTCTCTCTCTCTATATATATATATCTCTCTCTCTCTCTTTGAAGATTTCCTTTTTAAACAAAAACAAGGGTTACACACAAAAAGGCTGTTCAGTAGAGTGAGTAGACAACTACAATATGTTGACTTTAAAAAAAAAACTCTTTTTTTATGAACGCGCGTGATTTGATTCTTTAATATAGTTTCTGACATTTTCAAATCTTTTCAAGTATCTGTTATTTTTTCATTTTTGTGGAATTTTGTGGAATATGAATGGACAAAGCGTGTATAGTAAGTTAGTAAACAAAGTTTCTACACAGCAACCATTGTATCACAAAAGATGAAATTATAGACCCGTTTTCTTCCATTTTAAAATCCGATTATTTGATAACATCTGTAATCTTGGAATCCGTATTTCCCCCCGAAGGTCTTCGCAAAATCAATACCAATATAACATGCTGGTAGTACTGTCTGTATCAAATGACAGAATAGGGCAACGGTAACATGCCTACCAGCAAGACGTTTTAACAAGGATAATGATTTTTTTTTTTTAGAACGAATACTGACGTGAACAAAAATAAGGAGAGATATATGAGGAAGGATGTAAGAGGAAATATGCTTGAGAGACCCAAGCTGAAGAATGTGTGAACATAAGTGATGAAGATAGTAGATCCACGCATGATAAATAATTTTGCAAGAGAGAAAGGTTTATAATTTGTTTTGAAAGAATTTATATACCATCCATGGATCGGATAGAAAAATCCATGCAGATAGACTTTTATGAAAATGAATAGGAATTCTAGATACATGATGAGAAAGTGAGAAACATAGACGAAAATATGAAGCAAAAAAAGAGAAAATAGAACAAGATTGCAACAGGTTATTTCTTACTTCGATGTTTTCTTCTTCGTTCAAAAACAATTTCAGTAAATCAATTCTTTTGGTCTACGTCATAAGTTAACAGGTCATTGTTTCTTGAACTTGCTTTATGAGTCATCTGTTTTTCCTACTACTTTTAAACGTATATACACGCTTTGTATGTGTTTTTGCACCCCCCCCCCCTTAAAAAAGGAAGGTTTAATCTAATGTAATGAGGGTGGTATACTTTTTTCCGGGATTAAATAGATAAGATTGTAATTATTAGTTTTTAAATGTTTTTATTATTATTATTATTATTATTATTAATATTATTTATTTTTATTCTCCCCCCGTCCCTGTGTGACCCTAGTGTCCATTTAATGTACATGTAACTAAATTTGTAAGTCCCAGTGTTATGAATCTGCCTACATGTAGGTGAAAGGGCCCACACGCCGAGATGTGTACTTATATAAGGTGAGGGCGTTTACACCGATTTGCCGGACGGCCATTCTTGTTTGTTCATTTCTTATACACAATAAACACCCTATGTTACACTCAATTATAAAAGGTTCTATTATGTATCTTCCCTTTCATACCCACATACCATGATAATAGACCAAAGGAATCCCTCCTTTCTCCTAGCATAATTGAACTGATGTGCCATTGTAACAGTTGTGGACTTCCAAAGGCGATTTGAATACACAGAAGAAGGATTAACTATACCTATAATGCAGTATGAATGCAATTGGACGCAGGATCGAAACCTCGACTTTTTAAACCCCTTTTTTGACAGAAGCCAAGAGAAGTTGTGAAGAAAGTACGAGGAAAAGACACCAAATTAATTGACTGCGCAGTAATGTTGCGTCCAAATAGCCCATCAATCGAAAGTTCAAAATCCATTATGTTTTTAGGTTATGATGTACACAAGGAAGGCGATGAAATATCATGCTCTATGCTATGGTTTCGAGAGCAGAATTAACACGATGACAGCGCTATACATGTGTACATATGTATACGCACTTCTTTTTCAGCATTTTCCTTTTGATGCTGCTTTATGTTTTTGGAAATGAAAATGATAAAGAAACTGCAAATCCAGGCAATTATTTTTAAGCATGCTATCCAAAGAAAAACAAAACAAAGAACATTGCGATTTCAACTCGTTTTGGAACTTATACTTGGAAAGGGAAAGCTATGTTAAGAACTGATACATAAGAAATTTTCCGCTAACTTAATTTTGTATTTTATTTTAGCGATGATATCAGACATAATTTGTAACGACCCCCACCCCTCCTCTCTTTCTATTCAAATCCGGTCTAGAAACAAGGAAGCTTGATGAGTGGTTGAATGTGTACGTTACATGATGTGTAACAGCATGCCCACATAATGAGTTCCATGTTTAACCTTCCCTTGGAAATGTAACGATGTAAATCTAATGATGCCTGCAGACCTCGAATGGTTTAAATATCACTGTATTAATTGTAGAAGCCCTATCCCATATAATAAATTGAGCGTCTCGGAGGAGAATTGATTAATAACACCGCCTCGGTGTTACGTAAGCAATTTGTGAGTCAAATTAGAGAGACATGCATAATTTGTCCAAAGTGTTTAAACTGTTTTATTGTTAATAATGCTCATGCATGCATCGCAATGATAGAGTGATCGCATAGCAGCTATATAATTATATGCAAATTAGTAAATTAATTTATTAAACATCCATGACTGCTTTAATGCCAACTTTTCAATATCGGTTTCCTTGCAATGTAATTACCATGCAATTAACTATTACTTTCAGGAACTGTCATACGACCTCCTTTCTTTCTCTCTTTCTCAATTTCTCTCCGTCTTCTTTCGTTCTCTCATTCTATCCTGATCTATTACCATGGTAAGCTTTTCTCTGTGTCTCTATGAATACATTTTGTTTCTTTCTATGGATTTACACAATGCCATGTTAATTACCCCCCCCCCCCCTCCCACCCACGGATACCAATTGTGTTCAATTTTCTCATACGCTTGTCGCTGTAGAGCGTAATCCGGAAAACCAACCGGATATGTTCAAGCCGCAACGTGAGCTGGGAAGGATTGAATATGTAGGTCACAACGAGGATTAGTTTTCACAACCATAGCCAATAATCCCATCATTATGTTTCTAAATTGAAATTGATATTGTTAATATCATTAAAACAAACAATCACCACAGTCACTCTCTTCCTTGCCAAACATTATTCGAGAAGGAAGAATAGAACACAAGACCACCTGGTATATTATAATAATATTACTTGCCAATATCATATTCTGTTGACGAATTTTGGCAACGATGAAGGCTTAATGAATTGAGACGACCATTGTTCCATAATCTCCATTGTAAACATTGGATATACGTTAAGGCATATTTGTTAGTTTAAAAAAAAGGAGTTTTTTAAACGTTTCTACCCGTTGCTATGGAAACTCTCTTACGTACTAGCATGTACGCGTACATTAATTTGGTTATACATTTACCATTTTATGTCTATGCCAGCGTGAAAAGGATCTAGAAGATTTTTGAATTTTTGGTAGTCTAAACGCTTCACTATAGGTCCCACCAGAGCATAAAAGTGTGTTGCAGTCTTTAGTCAGTATCTGCTATACATTTTTGAGGGGCATTTTTCAAATTTTCCGGGGGGAGGGAGGACGGTCCCCCATGGGGTGACTTGTCCCCCATCCCCCCGGGATCGCCGCCCCTGGGTATGGGAATCATATTTTAAGAGAAAATTGCTATGATTTATTCTGGATTAATTATCCTGCAGGAGATTTAAACGTTGTTTAAACGGTGAAATAAAACAAACGCACAAAAACATCCTTGGCCCATCTAAAACCACAACTCCAATTTGCACATAGTAACCTGTGACAGGGCCTATAATTATTTATCCGGATTTCCGTGTCTTTCTATGCCCATTACTCAGCCGCTATGCATTTTCTACCAACAATGTGTGGCATATGTCATTTATTTGTAATATTGAACATTCAGTGTAAGTTTCGTTGGACTCTGTGAGAATTCATTTTCTATATTTACCAGTTCTAACTCAAGTTTATCTTTAAATAGCCAACACATAATGCACACGTAAAGACTACCTGCTTACAGAGATACAAACTAAGGCCATGATATTGTCTCCATTCAGTGATTGTGATATACAGGCTTCACTGTACCACAATTTCACGGTTTTGAAGAAACATTATACACGTACCCCCTATTGGACTCTCGTGTCATTTACTAGATGTGCATGTCAATCAAAATTCACTTAACTTTCATTTCATAGTCCCAAGAATAACAGCACGAATAAAGCTATAGTACGGTGTGCAATCATTATAATGATGTAGGCTAGAGGCGAAACAAGGACTCTATTCAATATACCGAAGTGTTTTTTGTATTGTATGTCCATCAAAACCTTGCTCACACCATGGAGTTACTAGGGACTTTTAGATTCTGCACGACGAGAACGTGGACTGCCCTTTATGGCAATGTGACGTCCTTTAAGGCACTGGCAGTGACGTCACATTGCCTTAAAAGGGCAGTCCGCGTTCTCGTCGTGCAGAATCTAAAAGTCCCTAGTAAGAAGGTCCCTGCTCACACTCAACGCTCCCTTTCTCCATCTTGGGTTGCCGATAACGACTTCCTTATACAGTCAAACCTGCTTTAGTGACCACCTGTCTACAAAGACCACATTTTTCGTTTACCTAGAAAATGGTTTTTAATTGAAAGAAGTACTCCTGTCTACAAAGAACACTTTTTGTGTTTCCCTAGGGCGGTTTCTATAGACAGGTTTGACTGTACACGTATGTATACCATATCGCTATCACGTAGGCATAATATGTGCCCAGTATTGGACGGAGCTTAGATGAAACGAAAAAAAATGTCATTTATTTTCTGCCTGATATTTGAGTCGACCAATATCATGTTAAATTCATATTTACAGAATTTCTACAGATCGTATACATTAATTCATTACCATGATTATTT